ACAATATTTAAACAGTCACAACAGCCTGGTGTACTGATGGCCATTTACTTATACTTCATCGACACTCACAAAATACCGTTAATAACAGTACAATAATGTACGATAATAGTACATTCCACTTTCAACATTTTTTATTCAGTCTTTTACTCATCACTGAAAGTTTAGCGAAAGTAAATATTGAAAATGAATGCAATCATAAAGCGATGTTTACATTTTCTCAGCTGAGCTTGCATGGATACAAGTTGATTTCATTGATATGGAATTATTCTTTGAATAGACAGTTTATTATGAAGTTATGCAGAGTAATATATAAGGTAGAAATGGTTTTATTACTTTTATTATTAGTTTATTTAATAATGTGAATCTTTTCATGTACGTTATTGGTTATCGCACCGAGGCCGAGGTTAGCACATCGACAAACATTCACACAGAAATTTAAAGTTTCTTTTTTAGAATTATAGCATAAGAAGACACCCAATTTTTAAGGGTGTTTTGGGGATTTAAAGTCGACTTATACGCGGGAATATACGGCAATAAAATATCCCACATGTTTAATCATTTACTTTTAGCTCTTAGATAACACGTCGTGGAGTAGTAGCTTTTACTGAATTTTTTTTTTTTTTTTTACTCGGAAAATCTTTAAAATCTTGTTGAAATGAATTTTATAAGTGACTGGTTTAATTTGACACTCTTTTTAAAAAAATTTCCCCCATCAAGTAAAATTTTATTCATCATTGAAAGTTTCGTGAAAGATTAATATTGGCTGTGAATGCAATCATAACTCAATGTTTATATTTTCTCAAGTTTATTTCATTAATATGGAATAATTCTTCGGATAGGCAATTTATTATGAAGTTATGCTGAGTAAAATATAACGTAGAAATGTTTTTATTACTTTTATTAAGTAAGGGAAACCATTGTTTTGTTTACGTTTCATTACATAATCCCTTGTGAATACTGATTATTCGTTTTGTCCTCTTCTGGCCATTTACTTATACTTCTCTGTAATAATGAATGAGAACAAATGAATATTATGTTATCGTAAATAATGGTGTCGCAATCTTCAAATGTTAGTATCAAATTGTATATTTGGTGAGTAGTCATTTTGCAATTGAAATCGACCTACGAAACGACAATTTTTTAGAGATTTTTTGTAGCTGTGCATAATACGCACCCCTAATTTCGCTGATTTTTTGAAAAAAATGCGTATGATACATAGCCTACAACACAAAATACAGTCATCACAATCATTTATCCCTGACTCGATCGTCAGGCTGGTCAGTCCGATAAGGTCAAAATAGTAGCCGACGTCCAAAACGGCCTCATGTCTGTTGTTAACTGGGGCAAAACATGGCTTGTTAATTTCAACGCCTCCAAAACTATACTTCTCTTGATTAATCCTCTGAGTGACCCCTCTCTGCTTTACATCAGAATGGCTGATGCTAACCTCGAGAAGAGTGAATCATTGCGCCTTCTCAGGCGAACGTTTCCTTCTGATATGAAGTTGAAAGACTATATTGAATCCATTGCTCAGTCAGCTGCTAGGAAAGTTGGTTCACTGTGTCTTGCACGACAATTCTTCTCTCCAGAATCTATCAGAGATATCTATAAGTCTACCATTCGTCCATACTTAGAATATAGCTGCCACATATGGTCCGGCGCCACTGCTATTTACCTTGAGCTTCTTGATAAAATCCAAAAGAATAATAAGTAATATTATTGGTTCTGATTTGGTGGCAACTTTCCCACCGCCGCAAGTTTGTCTTTCTGGGTCTATTCTGTAAATACTTTAATGGTATGCTTTCGGATGAGCTCTTTGCTGTGGTACTCAGACCTTCTTCAATTTAAGCGCAGTACTAGACTGGCGTCGAGATCTCATCAATTTACAGTCGAGCTGGTAGAGATGTAGCCGTAAATTAATGTTTCTGTTCCTAATTCTTCCAAACCCTTTGTGTCTTAGTGGATTTACTGCTTTGCATGGGGTGATTCCGATCAACAACAAAAAATGTACACGCTATCAGAAGAAATTTAATACGCGGGAGACTGGAAGAGCATACCTGCCAAGATTTAAGAAAGCGCTAAAAAATTATCTATCTATATTTCTGAGGTGAGATATTATGTACACTATTTACATTATTCGGACTATTCTCCTCATCTTTGTCGCCATATTTATTACAATGTTTCGGCCTTTCAGTATCTGTCTATATTTCTGAGATGAGATATTATGTACACTATGTACATTATTCGGACTATTCTCCTCATCTTTGTCACCATATTTATTACAACGTTTCGGCCTTTCAGTATCTGTCTATATTTCTGAGGTGAGATATTATGTACACTATTTACATTATTCGGACTATTCTCCTCATCTTTGTCGCCATATTTATTACAATGTTTTGGCCTTTCGGTATCTGTCTATATTTCTGAGATGAGATATTATGTACACTATTTACATTATTCGGACTATTCTCCTCATCTTTGTCGCCATATTTATTACAATGTTTCGGCCTTTCAGTATCTGTCTATATTTCTGAGATGAGCTATTATGTACACTATTTACATTATTCGGACTATTCTCCTCATTTTTGTCACCATATTTATTACAACGTTTCGGCCTTTCAGTATCTGTCTATATTTCTGAGGTGAGATATTATGTACACTATTTACATTATTCGGACTATTCTCCTCATCTTTGTCGCCATATTTATTACAATGTTTCGGCCTTTCAGTATCTGTCTATATTTCTGAGATGAGATATTATGTACACTATTTACATTATTCGGACTATTCTCCTCATCTTTGTTCCCATATTTATTACAACGTTTCGGCCTTTCGCTATCTGTCTATATTTCTGAGATGAGCTATTATGTACACTATTTACAATATTCGGAATATTGTCCTCATCTTTTATTTTGCCATATTTTATTACAAAGTTTCTTTCAGTATCCCTTTCAGTATCTGTCTATATTTCTGAGATGAGGTATTATGTACACTTTCTGATTTACATTATTCGGACTATTCTCCTCATCTTTGTTGCCATATTTATTACAAAGTTTCGGCCTTTCAGTATCTGTCTATATTTCTGAGATGAGGTATTATGTACACTATTTACATTATTCGGACTATTGGCCTCATCTTTGTCGCCATATTTATTACAACGTTTCGGCCGTTGTACGCTCCGGCCTTCTTCAGGGTGTTGGAATGTCGAACTGAACCCTTTATTTCGCTCACTGGGTTAGACTGTTCTAGCTAAAATGTGAATATTAACTAATAGAAAAAATGATTTCAATATTTACCTGCGTAAAAATATACAAAATCAAAACAATAACAATGAAGATAATAATCAAAGTATATTTACAGGGACATGTTTTAGAAGTTCAGACAACATTTCAAAAAACGAGAGGACGAACGTTTTTGTTTAAAATTAATGAACGAAACGCCAAAGAATTGTCTATTTGTGTTGGGATAAAGTCTTTTTACCCCAGTCTGTATTTTGAAAACAAAATTCATTTAAAATGAGCAAGACAGATAACGTTGTATTATCACCTATCAGACATTGTGTTTGCTAGTAGTAGTAGTAGTAGTAGTAGTAGTAGTAGTAGTAATAATAATAATAATAATAATAATTCCAACAGTTAGATTTCAAACTACAGAAGACTGTATGATGATATGTGTCAAAGAACATGAAAGTCGTAAATGACTTTATTCAGTAAGAACGGAAGCCAACATGCAATCATCAGGTCGGCAGCAATTGTTCATTGTGAAAATCGGCATTTTATAATCCCTCGGAAACTTCAAGACCTTACAAGGTTTATTTGATGTGTACCATATTATGCACACAACAACCAAACTTGGCGATGGTCAAGATGCAAATGTCGGAAAATCACGATTACTTGGGAAAAGGAAGACGAAGTAATGATATGCGTCAAAGAACGTGAAAGCAGTAAGCAACTTTATTCACTAATAAAGGAAGCCAACAAGTTCAAAATAGGGTTTCAAATGGGTGTAGGGATACAAGTATAGAACAATACACCGAATAAAGCTGCAAGATACTTAAAAAAGAAAACAGCAAATGCCACTGACCAGATACAGAAACGATGACAAGACAAACCGCTTCAAGATGAATACTCTGCCCATATCAAACAAGTTGATGAAGACAAGCTCCATACCTATCAGTGGTTAAGTAATGCAGGTTTACAAGATGAAACCGAATGCCTTATTCTTGCTGTTCAGGCTTGATACTTGCAAACTAGAAATTATCAAGCACAAATACTGAAAAATTGTGTTAGTCCAAAATGCAGATTCTGCGATAAATATCCAGAAACAATTGCCCTTAAAAAAATACAAGGAACTTGAAATAGAAATCTGAAAAAATTTGGTACATCAACAATTCCTGTTGTAGTTGGAGCCCTCGGATTTGTTGGAAAAGATTCCAGTAGACTCAATGAAGGGATTCCTGGAACCCATGAAAATTAAGAAATAGAAAAAAATGTTCTCACAAATACAGCCAACACCTTACGAAGTGCTTTCTCCATGTAAAATATTTGATTTTTTTTTTTAAATTACTCTGTGTAAAATGTCATGATGCCATTTCTGACCTTAGGTCTCTGGTCCGGAACCAGAAAGAAATGAATACACACCAGAAATCAAAGGAAATGAAATAATAATAATGATAAGAGTAATAGTTATTATTTTGAGAAGAAGACGACTAATACTTCAAGATGAGACAGTACCAAATGATTAACATCAGAATTCGAGACCTGTTTATAATCTTCGATGTCAGGCATGGCGTCAATTTTTTTCAGAAATGTGTAAACTATCAGTTAGATACTATCGTTTTCTCAGATGAAAATTGACTTCAAGTCAATGAACCATGTTGCTTTGGAAGAGGACTGTACTTCAACAGATCCCGAAGACTGGCACTATACAATTATTAATAACTAAAATCTCATCGCTTGAAGACTTTCAATACCGGCAACAACTAAAATGGATAGCACGTGTTACACGAAAACAAAAGAAGAAGAAGAAGAAGAGGAAGAAAAAGAAGAAGAGAAAGATGAAGAAGAAGAGGAAGAGGAAGAGAAATAAGAAGACGAGGAAGATGAAGAAGAAAAGGAAGAGGAGGAGGAAGAATAAAAAGGAGAATAGGAAGAGGAAGAAGAAGAAAACGCAAAAGAAGAGGAAAAGTAGAAGAAGAAGAAGAAGAAGAAGAAGAAGAAGAAGAAAATAAGGAAGAAGAAAAAGTAGAAGAGGAGGACAAGGAAGAAGAGGAAAAAAGAAAAAGAAGAGGACGAGGAAGAAGAAGAAGAAGAAGAAGAAGAAGAAGGAGGAGGAGTAGAATTTTGATGGATGGAAGAGAAGGAAGAATAATTTTGATGGGTGAAAGAAGAGGAAATAGAATTATCGTGGTTGTAATAAAAGGAACTGTGAAAAAGTGAAAGAAGTGTTCTTGTGGGTGGAAGAAATAGAATTTTGTTGAATGGCAGAAAAAGAAGAAGGATGAAAAAGAGGAATAGTAATTTTGATATGTGTAAGAAGAATTTTAGTTGGTGAAAAAAAAAGAAGAAAAATTTTGGCGGATGGAATTGAGCCGGAATTTTGGTGGGTGAAATTAGAGGTGAAAATAGAGAAAGAAGAATTTTCGTGCGAAGAAGAAGAGAAAAAATAGTTTTGGAGGTTTGGAATAAGTATGATTTCCGAGGTGGAATAAGTGGTAAAATAATTTTGGTGGGTGATAGAAGAGGAAGAAGAATTTGGGTCTTTGAAAGAAAAAGGATTTTGTTGAATAAAAGTAGTAGTAGTATTAGAAGAAGAAGAAGAAGAAGAAGAAGAAGAAGAAGAAGAAGAAGATTTTTGATGGGTGACAGAAGAGGAGAATTTTCGTGAGTGCAAGAACAACAACAACAATTGACAACAACAAAGAATTTTGGTAGGTGGAAGAATCTGGAGAAGAATTTTCTTGTGTGGAAAAAGCAGAATGTTGATGGATGGCAAAGAAGGAAGAATAATTTGGAAAGAGAGAGAGAAAGAAAGAACCAAATAAAAGAAAAACGTGACAAGTTAAAGAAAGAAACAAAAAAGTAAATAAAAGGAAAGCAAGATATGTGAAAGAAAGAAAGAAAAAAGAAAGAAAGAAAAAAAACAAAATAAAAGAAAACGATACGGCTGAAATAAATAAAGAAATAAAGAAAGAAAAAAAGAAAGAAAAAAGAAACTAGTAAAAGAAAGAGCGTATAAAGAAAATAAAAATAAATAGAAAAGTGGAAATGAAGAAAAGAAAGAAAGACAGCAGAACCCAATAAAAGACAAACGAGACAGAGAAATAAATAAATAAATAAATAAATAAAGAAAGAAAGAAAGAAAGAAAGAAAGAAGAATTGATACTTGGGAATAAAGAAAAATGATAAAGAAAGAAAGAAAGAAAGAAAGAAAGAAAGAAAGAAAGAAAGAGATGAATGAAAGAAAGAAAGAAAGAAAGAAAGAAAGAAAGAAAGAAAGAACCAAATAAAAGAAAAAAACGAGACTGGTGAAAGAAAGAAAGAAAGAAAGAAAGAAAGAAAGAAAGAAAGCAGAACCCAATAAAAGACAAATGAGATAGAAGAAGAAAGAAAGAAAGAAAGAAAGAAAAAAGAAAGAAAGAAAGAAAGAAAGAACCAAATAAAAGAAAAAAACGAGACTGGTGAAAGAAAGAAAGAAAGAAAGAAAGAAAGAAAGAAAAAAAGACGAGGCAGGTGAAAGAAAAAGAAAGAAAGAAAGAAAGAAAGAAAGAAAGAAAGAAAGAAAGAAAGACCAAATAAAAGAAAAGCAAGACAGGTGAAAGAAAGAAACAAAGAAAAAAAAAAGGAACGAAGAATAAAAATTTGATGTTTTCTAAATATAACAAAAAACGCAGATAAGCATGCAGGGAAAGATTGATGAAAAAAAAAAAAAAAAAAAGAAAGAAAATGAAAGAAAGACAAAAATCTGAGGCCAAAATGGAAGCTGCAACGTAAAAAGGTGAGACGCCAGACAGTCAGATCAACAACTGCAGGAGATTATCGGATTATGATTTCCTCTTATGGATAATTACTCCCAAAGGAAAACAAACAGTAAAAACGTTAAAATAAGGGGGAAAATATCAAAATTAAAATCAAATAACTCCTTAATTGACCCGAAACCACTTGACACTTAATACAAAATACACGGTGGGGGCGATAAAAAGATTTTTTTAAATCTCTATCAAATAAAAAATTTAAAAAAATAGAAGCAAAACAAACCAAATAACCTTTTTTTAAAAAATTTAAATAAAATTAATTTCAACGGATAAAAAGAGAAAAAAAAATTTAAACCAGATGCAAACACGGAACAGTGTTTTCCGCCCATCCTGAAATAAATATTACCGCCACCACCTTTTGTCCTTTTCCTGACAATTGATTTTCGCGGGCTTTTTCTACCATTCCACCATTTTTTTCTTTTCCGCCATTTTTTTTTTTCATCCTCTGAAACTTTTGTTCGTTTACTCTCTTTCTTTCCTCCATTTATTTTTCTTCTTTTTTATCTGCTTTCTTTTATTATTTTCTCTCTTGTCTCCACGTTTTCCTTTCTTTTTCTTTCTTTCTTTCTTTCTTTCTTTCTTTCTTTCTTTCTTTCTTTTTATTCCTCTATTCTTTTTCGTCCTTTTTCTTTCTTTTTCCTTTCTCTCTTTTTCTTCAATTCATCGTCTTAACTTTGAAGCACTTTCTTTTTTTTATTTTTTCTGATCTTGTTTCAAGGTTTTCTTTTATTTTCCTTTATTTTTTTTTATTTCCTTTAATTCTTTCTTTCTTTCATGTTTATTCTTTTTTTCTTTCTTTTTCTTTCTTTCTTTCATGTTTATTCTTTCTTTCTTTTTCTTTCTTTCTTTCATCTTCTTTCTTTTTTCTATCTTTTTTTTCTTCTTTATTCTTTGTTCCTTTTCCTTCTTTTCTTTCATCTTTATTCGTTGTTCGTTTTTTTGCTATCTTTTAATTATCTATTCATTGATTTCATTTATTTTTTTCGTAGTTGTGGCTCTTCACGATTTCCCTTCTTTGTTAATTACATTCTTTCCATCTCTATTACTTTTTTTACTTTCCCTCTTTGTCTCTTTTAATATATTTTCCTTAATTTCGTTCTTTTTTTAACCATTCATTCATTCTTTCTTTTTTCTTTTTTCTTTTTCAAATCGATGCTCTTCTCTCCATCTTCTCTTTCTTTCTACATCCTGATTTTCTCGTGTTTCTTTTTTTCCATCTCTCATCTCCCCGAGAGACTTGACGCTTGTCTACTCCTCCTCCTTCTCCTCCTACTCCCACTTCCTCGGGAGAACCACATCCGGTGTGCGATTACAGTTGTTTCCGGCACGGAAATCAGAAAGGAGACGAAACACTTGAGAGGGTTTTCTCGCATCCCAACATCAGCCTGCCACCCCCCACTGCCACACGCCTTCACCCCAAGAGGTGACGATACGTGACGTCACTAGACAGAGCCGATGTGACGGATGGTAATTAAGTCGAATGGAATTGAACGCAATCGTTGATATCCTTGTTTCTTTCTTTCTTTCTTTTTTAAATTTACGACAAAAAAATTAATCTGACTTCATGTTAAAGGGAGATAGGGCTTCAACAGAGAGAGAGAGAAAGAGAAAGACAGAGAAAGAGTGAGGGATTAAGCAGGAGAAGGAAAGAGGAAAATAAAAAGAGTGAAGCTATAAATAGGATGAAAAAAAGGAAGCAGTTTTTTTCTTTTATTTTGTTTTCATTAAATAAAAATTTTAAGAAGCACTAAACACGTAGAAGTAAAAAAAAATGGACAAGAAAAAGTAATACAAAAAATTAGAGACTTTTTATCTCAATTCAATTTAAATTAATTCTAATTTTGATTAGATGTTTTATTTTAAAACGTTTCTTGTAATCTTTCTTTGTTTTTTTGTACGCGTGTGTTCTTTGAATTTTAAATGCCAATACGGAAAAGGGAAGGGCCTGATAAACATAATATGAATAACGGTGACCAGATAAATGAATGCCACTCGTCTAAGAGACCAAATAATCAGCAAAAATATTACATACACTTACCATCTAAAAATACCGGTAATGTTAAAATCAATTTTAAATTGTCTGTCTATATCTCTAAGATGAGGCATTATGATTATTTTATTTACATTATTCCGGCTCTTACCCATCTTCTTCATTTACATATTCACAACGTTTTGGCTGTTGTACGCTCCGGCCTTCTTCTGGAGATCAGAACTTCGAACCGAAACCTCTGTTTCTTCCACCGGGATAGATTATTCTAATTCCACGTGCCACTCCTGAATGTCTCAGTTATTTACCTTTAACTCAACTTTCCGAGTTTTGGTTCACCACTGCTGTGGTCTGGTACTGAACACACAACTCAAGAACACATAGCCCAGTGGGTAAAGACGTTGGTTAGGTCCAGTGACTAGACCCAAAGAGTTGTCATATACTCAGCATTTCGGCCGTTGTCCGCTACGGTCTTCTTCAGGTGATTGGAATATCTGTCTATATCTCTGAGATGAGGCATTATGATTACATGAATTATTGACATTATTCGGACTGTTATCCTCATCTTCATTGCCATATTCACAACGTTTCAGCCATCGTAAACTCCGGCCTTCTTCAGGTGATTGGAATATCTGTCTATATCTCTAAGATGGGGTATTATGATTACTTGCATTATTGACATTATTCGGACTGTTATCATCATCTTCATTGCCATATTCACAACGTTTCGGACATACAACTCTTTGGGTCTAGTCACTGTATCTAACCAACGTCTTTATCCACTGGGCTATGTGTCCTTGAGTTGTGCGTTCATTACCAGGCCACAGCAGTGGTCAGCCAAAATTTGAGCAAGTTGAGTTAAAGCGAAATAACTGAGACATTCCGAAGAGGCATGGCACGGGGAATTAGAACAATTTATCCCAGTCGAAGAAATAGATGCTTCGGTTCGAAGTTCTGCTCTCCAGAAGAAGGCCGTAGCGTACAACGGTTGAAACGTTGTGAATATGGCAATGAAGATGAGGATAATATTACGATTATTATAAATAATTGAAAAACAAAACAATTACAGGAATTTAAATATCTGTGAAGTGTTCTAACAGAGTGTGTCTCAACGGCTGTTGTAATACGTCTAGTGTGGTAGTCTGTGGTGGTAGTGCTTTTCGCTTCTTGCTTTCAGTTACCGCCGCTGGCTAGCAGCAATGCGAAAATGGGGAGTCGAGTGCGTAAGTCTTCCCCTGCCAGTATATAACCTCTCCATCAGCAAGCCCTATGTAGTGCCTACTCTTGGCGAAACATGGCAACCAAGCATTTTGCGGACAAGGGGTAAACTACAGGGGGACGGGGGGAGGAGTTTGGCCCCCTTAACATGCGGCATGCAGGCCCACCGGTGTGTGGACACGCTCGGCTGCCCATGAACCAAACCCCAGCTATGGGTTAAATAGCTCCACTGCCTTGTGGAAATCTTCGGGAGAAGAAAAGGCCAAGGAGTTAACCCTACACAAACCCGGAGCGGATCCCCTAATGCGGATGGACGGCATTTTGTGCTTACCTTCCGGCAACTCCTGCCTCCACGCTCGTCCCAAACTGTATTGGTTTATCCTCTCCTTTGGACTCTAGTAGCAAGGTCGAGAGGGGGAATTAGACGCTCGGGCAGCCCTAGTTCTCGATACAACCCGCCCAGGCTCGTAGCGCACTGAGCGCTACTCCATCGTCTCCTGAGACGACGGACGGATGCCGAACGAACGAATGACGAACTTTCTAACAGAACACGAAAAATACGACACTGAGATCCGATGACGTATTGGGATGGCCAAAGATGCATTCCAAAAGTTAAGCAGAGTGAATCCTGGAAGCAAAAGAAATATGGTTTTAACAAAAAGATACTGCGGATAACATGGCAGTGAGCAACAACGAGGATTTGGAGAAAATGGAAATAAAAAGGAAACTTATACTTAAAAAGAAGCAGTTGAAATTTCTGGGCACGTAATGAGGACTGAGGGCTTGGAAATCTGAGACTCAAAGGACAGCTTGAGAGAAAGAGAGACAGAAGAAAGCAGCAGGGTTTTGGAGAAATAACAAAAAGACAAAACTCATTAAGAGCTACAATGAACAGGAAGATGTGGAGGGCCATGATCACCTACATCCTAAAGGGATATGGCATATAAAAGAAGAATCTCAGGGTTTCTAAAACCTTTTGTTCCTTTGTGGAACTCTTGAAATAAACCCTTGTGCAAATTAATTGAAACAAAACGAATAATACCGTTATTATGATTTTTTTTCGTATTTTTCCAATGAAATATGACTCAGTAAACATATTAGTACTTTGTATGTCCATTCCATGAAGTCCTTCCTTGCAGATTGACCACAGATTCTCGACTGGATTTAAATCAAGAGAGTTTCTGTGGTATTCTATAGTACTTTGATTTGCTCACTGGTAAGGCTTGCCATTGTGTTCACGCAGTGTTACAATTTTCATACGCTTCCTTGGAGCAACATCCATCACAGACAATGGCCGTAAGACAACTAATCGACAGTCGAGACAATAGTGTCTGGGCGTGATGAAATCTGATGCAATCACGGATGGCGCAATATTTTTCAAGGCCAAACAAATTTCATCATACACCCCGAAAATAGATTCATATTACTGCACACCACTGCAAATGATCAAATCGGAGTAAAAAAATAGAAATCGATTACATCCTGTCACTCCAGTGGGCGAAAGAACATTTTTTTCACGGATCACATTAGATAAACATCCTTAATTTGTCTAATTATTTTTCATCTGAAACTGATAAATTTGTCTTTTCCAGGGGTTAATAGTTTTTGTGTTCCACCTAAGAATATTGATAGGGTTTAAACTTTTGGCGAATTTTAAATGTTATATTCTCAATTGAAAAAAATATATTCGCCCATTTCCACAGAGAATTTAGGTGATCTTAAATCCACCTAAATGATTTGACCCATTCGTGAATTCGCCTATCGATTTAATGATTTTATTCAAAGCCAAGCAAATTTCATCACACACGCCACTGCAGATGATATAAGCTGAGGAAAAAATAGATTTCGATTACGCCCTGTACTCCAGTGGGTTTAAAACTGACCGTATGGTGAAAGAAAGGAAATTAAAGCGGTTGTTTCAATTAATTTGCCCAAGGGTTTAGTTTTCATGTTTCAGGAAACATTATTATCTTTTCCTTATTAATATTACTTTTATATTTTTTATCGTAGTTCATGTGATACGCATACTTCTTCTGTCAAATTTATTGGCAATGTAAGAAAAAAATATTCATATTGCTCGTATATGAAACCTTACACCAAGGTTTTCATTCACAAAAAAGTCTGTAAACACACAAAAATAAACATAAATAACCAATCGTTTTAATTTATTATATAATAACCAACGATTTTCCAATAATATTCTGAACGTGTATAGTAAAATTATAAATATAAAATTAAACAAAAATTACTAAAAAAATGCATTGCCTCAGCAGGAATCCTCAAATGCAGTATCTCTCCGTTGTAATTACCCGGTGCCTGAGGAGTCACCAAAAGGGAGAAACGCCGAGCAGACCTGTGCAATTTTTCTACGGTATTGCCGATAAACCCTCAAAATAATTCGACCTTATGTCACATTCTATAGCTATGTGGACGCACTAATAAATGCATACTCAAAAATGCAGTAGCCTATTTATCAGTTTCTCGCGGAACCCCTAGAGACCTCTTGCAGATCCCCCGGTCTGCACTTTAGTTCTTCTCTCATCAATTTGCAGAAAATCGAGAAGTAGGTTACGCGCTGATTCCCCTTGCTTCTCATGTGTTCAGTGTGACCTCTGAATGTTAAATGCACGAGGCTCTCCTTCTTCAGAAATGGGTTATCAGTCTAATATTATTATTAATTGTAGAAACTATTCAACTTTTTTTTACAGGCATGTTAGTCCTGTATAATGCCGAAGAATCTCTCGAGGTAGAAGGTTAGAGTAAATGGGAGATGGCACAGTTTATGATGATATGTGGGGGAGATACCGGTTAAGACTTGTCGGGGTAAGACTGAAGCCTCTTCTTGGGAGACGCTTTCACAGAACAGCAGATCGTGAGAAGAAGCTACTCGAGTGGAACTTATGTCTCAACAATGGAATACATAGGGAATGGGAATGGTTCGTTACAATGTGGGTGGCATAGTGCGTTTTGACTGTGATGGTCTGAACTGGCGGAACTAAGGATTGTTGTTCGTCTGAACACATGCCATGGAAATAGCGATAGAGTATTAGCAAGAGCCTTATAAAGTTTCATCTGTGAGAAAGGGTTGGTAGGGTGGGAAACAATTCATCACCCACAAAGCCGCGTAGATGCTTTTAGGCTCTACTGAGATTAGAAAGAGAATACAAGCTAGCTCCTGCCCATATATGATAGTTGTACTCCATTTTTGAATTGAGCTGGTTCTTGTTAAAATAGAAGATATTCGGAAGGCATCGGACACTTACTGGAGCGGTACAGGGATCCGAATATTTTACCAGCATCTATAATGATGGATCGTATACACGATTCCTCTTTGAAGTCTGGGTTGAACTTAAGTCATCGCGATAGGCGAAAATTCAAGGTATGCTGGGTGATGATGAAATGTCACTTTTACGTCATTAAAAGTAAAAATATTTAAAGAAAGCGAACGCAACAATTCCAGCAAAAAACAAAACTGCCAATATTCAATTAATTTTGCTTTTCCATTGGTTATCCATCCTAAAGCTGAGTCGCCTTTACGTTGTAGGACGACCTGCGTGCTTCCACGACTCCCATAGCTATGTATACGGGGGATATGTCACTTAGCAAGTTCAACCAAGCTCACCAGGTCTGTGGGGTAAGAGCCAGACGGATGAAACACCATGGTCCTCCAGGTTGAGGTTTGTGCAGTAGGCTAAGAACCCACTCACTTAAAAACTAGTTTGTTAGAGAAACGTCAACGATAACTTCAATCAACTACATGACCGAGGAAGAGTTCTTTAAAATGGAGCAAATGACGCGTGGTGGGGAAATACCCCGGCAAGCCAGTGCGCCGATAACTCTTCTGACAACTTCCGGTCACATGATAATGATGATGTTCCTGAAATATCGGTTGGTAAATGTCTGAATTTTGTGGGCGTTAGTCTTGGTTACCCACCAGTTTTCTGAGCCGTAAAATTGTATTATTTAGCCAGATAAAAATTTTAGCTTTCACAATTACATGAAAAAGAAAAAGAAAAAAGAAATGAATACAGAAGTAACATGATTCAACATCTCTCTCTATATATGTCATACTATTTACATTGTTCGAACTGTTGTCCTTCATTTTCATTGTCATATTCACGACGTTTCGTCCGTGAATATGCCAATGAGAAATTAGAAACAGGCTTGTGGAATGTCTGGCCGATCCATCCCCATTTCCGGTTCTTGATGTCATTCTCAATTTCGGCTTGTCTGGTCCTGTCCTTCCGTTTGTTGTTTGAGACGACCTGGTGGTGTGTTGCTTTGCGTGCTTCAACGATCCCCAGAGCTATGTGGGAAGGGGCTTTGGCCCATAGCAGGTCCAACCAAACTCAACAGTTCTGCGGGGTAGAAGCCAGACGAAACACACCTTGGTCCTCCAGGTTGGGTGCTGTGCTGTAAGCTAACAACCTACGCACTTAAAACCTAGCTTGTTAGAGAAAACTCAACCAATATCTTCAAACAACGACATAGCCGAGGAAGAGTCCTTCAAAGTGGAACGTATGACGCGTGCTGTTGAAAATCTCCCGGGAAAGCCCGACACGCTTTCAACACTCTGCGGCCAATCTGGAGATCAGCAGGAGCAAAACAGACTTTGGCGTAGAAGTTTTGACGTAGAGGTGAAGGCAGCCGGCATAACATGAGTCCAGCGGAAGATGATTGCCCGGAACTGCGTCCGTTGGAGAGGTGGTGTTGCGGCAATAAACCCAATTGTCTTCATGTCTGTCTATATCTCAGATGAAGTATGATTACTTCCATTATTTACATTATTCGGACTGTTATTCTCATCTTCATTGTCTTATTCACAACGTTTCGGTCGTTGTAACCTACGGCCTTCTTCAGGTAATTGGAATATCTGTCTAATCTCTTAGATGAGGTATTCTGATTCCTGGCATTATTTACATTATTCGGACTGTTATCCTCATCTTCATTGATATATTCATAACGTTTTGGCCGTTGTACGCTACGGCTTTCTTCAGGTGATTGGCATATCTGTCGATATCGCTGCGATGAGTTATTATGATTGCTTGCATTATTTACATTATTCGGACTGTTATCCTCATCTTCATTGCCATATTCATAAGGTTTCGGCCGTTTTACGTTACGGCCTTCTTCGGGGGATTGGAATATCTGTCTATA